TTCGAATTCAAACCATGTGCAAATCTCCGAAACCATTTTTTCGTGAACAGTGCCTTTAATGCAGTGCATCTTTAAAATAGTTCCTAAGGGGTGTGGCGCACTAGGATCGAAATAGTCGCGTCGCACGAGTGGAACGCCGCGTGCGAAGGAATGTAGCAAAAGCAGATAAGAAATACATGAGCAAAAGAACTAACAGTCGGATCATCCGAAAATAATGATCGCATATCGATTGAGCGGTATGAGGAGCACTAGAGCTGTAATAACGGCGAAGTGACTGCGTCAGCCGCGTGCGGCGAATCGAATACACAAAACCGATCTTACTGCCCGTCTCCCTTGGCTAAGGTGTAGACAGCCACTGATAGAGGTAGACTAAATAAACTATAGTATTAACAAATAAGGTGAATTGGGCGAATACGTCATCGATTTACCTTTTTGGACAAGTCGATTGCTCGAAACCATGAAAAAACATCAGTAGCTGTTTCGAGAAGAAAAGAAAAGAGAAAGGACTGAGCACGATTTACATGGTCCAGCTTCCTTATATCAGCGGAGAGTAGTAAACAGGTGAAATATAAAACATGACGCGAACTACGTCAGAACAGGGTCCACTGAAAGTAAGGGGTAAAATATAGTTGAAAAGTCAAGGTGTGAAAAAGCCATCGGTTCTTCACAGTGGCTAACGAAAGCTGTTGATGCATGCATGCAGTAGACCAAGCCTGAACAACAGAAATTTTGGACTTCTATCTTTCAATTATATTTCCATTACCATAGTCCCTCGACGAAAGTCCTGTAAAGGATTGGAAATTCGAGTTTTTGGAAGTGAGTTTAGGATGGCTGTAGCTCTAATTCCCTTACCACCCTCCTACCCACTGCCTTACCATTGCCGTAATTTCCAGACTGAGTTATATACTGATTTATCTTGATATCCATTTAAGGCTGCTCGAAAGGTGATACTCCAATATTGATGACATTCGAAAATTCGGTCGGAAGTTCGTCCATCGACAGTAATTTCGTCGAAAACTGGGAAGCCTGCCGACAGATGTGTCAAGATGAGGCAAGTAGTATTGCATCACCTTCGTGAGAGAGTAATCAATAAAATCAGCTCGATTGAACTTTTACATATGAAATGATTTTGTTTACAGAATTGTAGATCTTTCACATACTATGATGATAAACAATGTATGATAAACACCGAAGACGAAGGTGTGAATCTCCGTCCACCTACGATGGGACCATACACTGCCCAAACCACGTTGAAGTTTTGCTATCCAGGTAGGGTAGCTTTCTTTTGGCTATGTCACGTAACAAGTATTAGAGCTGATTTTCAGATAATGTCTCTCCTTTCCACGGTTGCGCCAACTTTGTCGGATTCAGAGATTATTCATTGACGGTAATTTGTAAATTCTCTTCTCCCTAATGAGACTTTCACTTGCAATTGACTTTTCCTTAGCTTGCCTGAGGCATATCCCACAAGTAATTCAGTGTAAATAATAGTCCTCTGAAGAAACACAGCCGGGAAATAAGAACAGATTACGGTTTGAACATCGAAAGGGGGTGGTGGAAAGTAGGGTTCGACATGAGTCGGTATAACAGAACTGGAACTACATACTATCGTGAAGTTTCACCGATCAAAGTTACAAAGGAAGCAGCCTTCAAAGGCTGTCTTTTCTTTGAGTAATATGTAGCTCTTTCAGGCCGAACCTCGAGAGCTGTTCGAAGGCCTTCCACCCGGATACGACGGCCTAAAGCTTTGCACCGAGCTCTGCGTTCTCAGTGCCGAGTACTCATGTCGGGTAAGTAAACAACAAACTCTTCAATATCTTGTCCAACCCTTTGCCGCACTGATTTCAAGAAGTGATTTCTCATCGGAATCGATCGCAACTGAACAGATTATCGTGTGGGAGAGATGGAAGCTAGCGAAGCCTTCCGTCTTTCCGGGGACGATCTTGCATATCAGCATTGGCTGATAGATCTGCCGGCCTCCTAACTCAATGTATGCGCTACATAAGCATTCAAAACGTGGACTACAGTTTTGAGTGGAAGTCGATTACGGGGCTCATTCCAAAACGGAAGTGGTTGCCGATAAAATACGACATTTGAAGTTTGACAAGGTAGGCGATTTATGGACAGAACTTCAGTCGTATGGAACTCGAACACGTACTTGTGCTTTTCGCTCACAGGTGCGCTTACGAGCACGGCCTCCGAAAAGCACAAGTGCAGGTTCGAGTCAGGTCCGAGGCTGAAGTTTTGTCCATGAATCACCAACCTTGTGGGACTCTCGGAAGGACAGCGAGCGGCGAAACAACAGCAGTTCACAAAACATAAAGTCAAAATAACAATTAGTCTTCCAAGAGTAGAGTGACATGAGGAGTTCACCTAACCCTTTCCGGTACTTTAATTGTTGGATAAATAAGTGACACTCATTTCAGTCGGCGAGCTTCGAAATGTTAGATGGTGTATGCAAATTATACGCTGTGGATTCCATATCAGCCCCCAAAAGCTTCGAGCTTTCCAACGTCCAATATCAGCTCTACTTTGAGAACGGTTGCTCTGCCCAACCCGAGCTCTCTTTAGTCGGTTAGTTAATCCTTTCAAAGAATATCTCGTTGGATATATTTTTATTTTATTTTGTAACGTATTATCTGTATTTCAATTCAATTTTTTTTCCATTTTACTCGACTCTTTTTGGTCAAACGCTGGGGCAGTCAAATATTGTAGACATTCCCCACAGCGCTCTCCTGATACAGGGCTAGAATGATGTGATCATGCAAGTCTGTAATATAAAAAAAAACAAGAAAATGATGGTGCGATACTCGAACAGTTGAAATAAACTTCATACGAGCGCAGGGATTTGAAGTTACCTATAGAAATAGCGAAAAAATTGGGTTGAGGGGATACTGATTCGTTGGATCCTCATCGCTACCGAGGTCAAAGGTCCATAAGCCCGGGATTCATAGAAATTCTAAAAATCGTCCAAATTTGTCTTACCTACCAGTTTTCTCCTCCTGGCAATTCTGATCGATTTGTGTTTCAGCTAAAGACTACGTCGCTATCGAAAGAGTACCCATGAAGGACCAATCTTCACGTAAAGCGTTACAAATGAAACCATCAAAATTGAAGATACATAAGTTAGATAGAAGGAGGTCAGCCTTTTTCTCGAAACACTAGAGGACAAAGGAAGTTCATCAAAGAATTTTCAGGAAAAACACTGGTCCCGGAAATTTGTGATATGTAGGTGATGTGCGGCAACTACAGTCACCGCCATTTTCTGAATATTTTCATTACCATCATCGTTAGTTGTACATAGTAATTATGATGTGGTAATAGCAGTTGTAGAAATCTAATAAGGAGTGCTCTGTGGTCATTCAATGCACGTAGGGAAACACTTATCTCATGCAATCTCATTTTTTCTTTCATCCAGGGCACTTCATCGTTCATGGTCTTTTCGATGTCATTCCAATTCATTTTCAGATTTCAGCGACCCACTGTGTTCTCTCGAACAATGGATAATGCAGCTTTTAAATTTCTTTTAGTGAAATTCAACTTTGCTTGATATTTCTGTTTTATGTAAGATTTACCGTGATCCATCCGTCTCAGCACTTCAAAATGAGGAGCGATGATTAATAAATTGCAAGTTTAACAAATGATTCTTTAAAGTTGTGCTAAAACTGTTTCAGAAAGATGATTTGTCGTAAATTTCCAAACGGAAGACCTTCCAGAAATTCCTGAACTTCCTCTAGAAATCAGATCAAGTCTAAGAAGCTCGCTCGATGAACTACATTGAGCAGGCTGCAACCACATCGAGACAAACGGTTGCAGGTTAACGGTGGAGACGATAAAAAGTGGTTAAGACGATAAAGAATATAGTATATTCAAGATTCGCTTCGCTCTCGATCTGGCCAATCGAAACAAGTTGAAAAGTGTCAGGCCAATCAATAACTATTTAAGATTCCTTAAAATAAATAAATTAAAAAGTTAAAAAGATAAAAAAGCACAAGATAACAATCCAAAAGTGAAAAATTACTGCCTGAGATGAGTGTTACGAAAGGTTTTCGGTTGCATCGGCACCTCTTTCGCTTGCTTGATGGGCGTTTGACAGAAATACGAACTTCTAAGAAACAGTACTTATCTTTAGCGGAATGACACAGCGCGTTCTAAAACAATACCAATGCTCTCTGAAATAAGTTACACCAAAACTTTTATGTTTTTGTAAGAAGAGATCACAGTTCCGAACGACTGAAATGAAGGAAAGTAGACTTATATGTCGCGAAAATAGGTTTGTTTGAGAATAGTGTTGGATATAAAACTCAGTCAAACCCGCTATCAAATGAAGACCACGAGAATTAATCATGTTCAAGTAACTTTAGGCCTTTTGGACATCAGTCCAATCCTATAGCTCACCACCTGTATCTTCGACACTCCATTTGTTGAAAGTTATATAAGGAAAAAGTGCTTCATTGAGGTATAAAAATAACCAGGCGATATATTTCTGACAGATCTATAAGAAATGAATAACAAAAACAGAACTTAACAAAGAAAACGATGATAAGCACGGACGGAACATCGGCCAGAACAAATTTCGTTAGCTTTTCACAAGTATCTCTAGGGCCTTTGGTCAAAGATCGCATGGAAAGAAGAATTCCTTTCTCTCTCCAAGCCTGGTCTCCATGGTCCCCTAATATTTTCCTGCCCTGCATCAGATTAAANCCAAAATATTCGCTGCAAATGCTACTTGCTGAGCTAGAATAGGTTCAGTTAGATGATCGACCACTTCTATGCTACGTAAACAATGGCGATGGATAACAATGAACGAGAAACGATAGCAAGCACAAAAATAGCCAAAAAAATCTATTGCATACTCCTTATAATAGAAAAGGACAAATTAACTAGACACAACATGCAATAATCGCGCACCTAATACTTTTGTGCCACATCGGCATAGTAGACGGGTGGCGGTGGTGCGGTAGCTGGACAATAGTAAACTGGTGCTGGAGGAGGTTGCATCGGCTGCTGCATTGGTAACATCGGCTGCGCAACGTTCACCTTAACGACGGTTTCCTATTAAATAAAGTTGATAGTTTGAAGTTGCAACAATTGCTTCTGTAAGGAAAATACGAGAAACTACCTGTGTTGTAAGAACGACGCCCTGCTTCTTAGGCTTCTTGAAGATCATATAGAGTGCATGTACAACACCAGGGATATATCCGAAAACGGTCAGAAGGCAGTTGAAGAAAAAATGAATTGTGCATCCAGAATGAAACAGAAGAGCCAAAGGCTGTAATGAAGAGGATAATAAGATACTCTTTTACTAATTCTAAAAGTTCGGTATGTAAGGAAAAAAGCATATGAGAAACAATGAACACTTGTTAGTGTGAATTGTAAGCGAGATGGAATATTACCATCATAGTTACCGTACCATCTCGAAATCTAGCACAGTTTGACTCTAATTTATGGGGTTAGGCAAGGAAAACTGATTCTTTCCAGGGGAATATAATCAAACCATGGCGCTGGACATCTCCTTGCTTCAGCGAAACAGTAAACTTCTAGAAAGAACGTGAAGTTACCTTTATCTCGAACTTCATCGCTAGGAACTAAGGGCTCAGGACTGGTTTTTCGTGAATTCAGGATAGTGGGATGATCTAGCAGTACAAGACTGGAACCAATCTGCCAATCAGAAGGTATGAGTATGGTTACCTAGGTCAGGAAATGAAATGAAATAACATCTGTGGCAGGCGCAATTCTACTCATGCCCAATCGAACGTTATTCAGGTGACAGCATAAAGAAGAGTATCCGACACCTTTAATTGAATCCTACCGTAGTTGCAGTTAAATTGAACAATCACTGCTGGCTATAAAAGCAAATAACGTCCATAACAGCAGAAGAATGAGTGGGCTGAATACAACGCCAGCTACTCCTCATATTGCCACCTCATTGCCAAATCATACTTTACAATTTGGAGAAAACTGATGATTGAAAACCTCTTGATCACACGGTTCAAGTGAAGACTAATGGTGTTAGTATCATGCCGACTTTTTAGGAAGTCGCAGAGAGGTCAGTCTGGGTTTTTAGCACTTCTGACAACCGCGCCATGCATGTGCATTCTACTTCATAAGCATCACAAGTGGTACGTAGGTGTATTCCGCTCTAACTATAAGTAAGCCAATACAGTGTAGTAGCTTATTTGAGGGGAAATGTTATTTACTAAGACTTATATCATCACGAAAAACAAGCTGTAACATACATGGTTCTGTATATTCGCGTGTAATTCAAAAAGGAAAAAGTTCAGACGATGCTTAAAAGCAAAGAAGGAAGCTGTTCCTAGGTAGTTCGATAATCAGGAGATCCAAACTGTCATGACTGAAAGTAGTTTGTTAGATTGGCAACTAAGAAAACATTTGTATTTCGGGGGAATTTAACTACCTTTTTATACAAGAAAGGAATATCTGATCAATCGTCTCTGAATATAAATCACTTTGAAAAGGGTAGTCACTTCTCAAACCAAATGCTTGAAATTTCTAGATCTTACTGCGTCAATTTCGTAAGCAGAGTCCGTGGGAATTCCATTTCATATGGAATAAAGGATACAAGACTGAAAAACATAGTATGGAAAATAGATCAAAAAACTCACAGGCATGAAGAATGCACAGAAGATTTCGAGAAGCAAAAGGCACATGTTTCACTGAAATACAAGATCAAAACAATTTGTAAACAAAAAAAGAACAAACAAACAAGGATACGAGCAGCTTGGAGGTATATGTACATCCCCCCAGATCTGGATGGATGCGGCAAACTGCGCGGCGAAATTCGTAGCAATTTGGACGACTCGCACTTATCACTGGGCCGCAGTTTTTGAATAAAATAGATCAATAGGATCAGCTGATCTTACTAATTTACTCCAAGTCTATGCCCCAATTACAGGCGTCAAAGTCGTCCGAATTGCCGCGTCCATCCAGAATTGGGCGAATGTTCCGTTCCCAAACATCTTGGTTGCCCCACTCCAGAAAAATGAACGCGCTAGGGATGACGCCATTTATTTACACACCGGGGTTACAGGGCTGTTGTCAACCAGTATTTCTCTCGCTGAGAGAATCAGACGGCGAAGCAATCTCTGCGTCTCGTGTTCACCAGCGGGAGGACGGCGTGTCCGCTCGTTGTCCGTACTCTCCTTCAGAGCGCTCTCTCGTCAAGGGTAGACATTCGAAAGGGTCCAAGAGTCGAAGAATTTTCANCAAGTCTATGCCCCAATTACAGGCGTCAAAGTCGTCCGAATTGCCGCGTCCATCCAGAATTGGGCGAATGTTCCGTTCCCACATCTTGGTTGCCCCACTCCAGAAAAATGAACGCGCTAGGGACGACGCCATTTATTTACACACCGGCGGCAGTCTGCAAGTGCGTACTGACGCAAACTACCGTAACTCTACGCTCACTTTTATTGAATTCCAAAGACCTGCTGGGGCATGATTTCATGTGTTCGAGGGTATGTTTTCGTTGGTAAGCTTCCCTTTTCAATTCAATTTACCCTATCCGTCCTGAGAAAGCCTTGGTTACCTATATGTGTAGCATGTTGTCCCTTGTCAAAATCTACTGGTGCTGTTTTGCTCTGCGGCCGTAAAGTTAGCAGTAAAGCCGTAAATCAGAGCTATAATAGGTGAAAAATGCGCTTGAATTAGAATTTTTATTAAATTGTATATTCTGACTCCACTTTATATGCTTTAAAACAATAGGTTATACTGATAAACAGCTCAATTCTTCGGAAAACAGAAAATCGCTAGTTGAGGTTAGAAAAGGTGTGGGTGGGCATTTTTGATGAGATATTGATATTATTGAGATATTATTACCCCTTAAACTGTGTGGGTGTAGGGCTAAAGAATGCTGTACCAATTTTTTCTTGCATAGGCATATTTGTATTTGCAAATTTTGTAATAGTGTGTTCGTAATAATATTTATGTATGTCATGTAATAATTTGTACGTGTATCACTATATATTGGGATCAAATTTGTTATTAAAGGCACAGTTCACGATAAAAAGGGTTTCTGGGAATTCTTGGAAAGATGAATTCGAGGTTCCCTCGTATACCATATCCGGCGCAATTGCGTCGGAAAACGGCCTAGTTAGTGAGTTATCAAGGCTCAAAGATTGGCTCGTGTGTATACTCGGACGAGTTTTATCGGCATTGTAGAGGCTGCACCGATCACAAAAGTACCCAAGTAGGAAGTTCAAAAAATTTGTCATGGCCCATAGCGACAGTGAAACGCAGTTCTGTACAGTTCTGGTTTGACATAGCTCTTTCCGCAATTGCAACAGCAGAAATCCAGTCCAAATACCCCTTCTATGTTATTTTCAGGGTCCAGGAACTTCTCCCCTAACACGGCGTCGCACACGCCGCACCCACCGCGTATCGCAGAGTTGCGACGGAAGATTGGAGTGAGGTAGAGAGTCCTTTAATTATTTGAATTGACTGGCCGCTCCTTCAATT